AAACATGCTCCTGTAACTCTTTTCTCCCTGATAAAAATTTCCTCTTGTTTACTGGGTAGATTCCTCTTAAACCATTATAGAGGATATGACTCTGATACCTCTTTCTCTCTCTCTTTTTTTTCCCATTTTGAAAAGAGTCTGTCTGCCAAGTGGTTTAAACTTTGAAGAACCATCAGAATGCAACTGGGTCTCTTTCATTCTACCTTTAAGTCCTATCACTGCAGGCAGCCACATTGAACACAGCAGTGTACCCTCCACCTGCTCTCCCACCCCCAAAATCAACAGTAATTTACATGTTTACCACAGTAGCTCATGAAAACACCATGAGGGCAGAAGGTAGAATGAAGTTGTCATCTATAGCAAAATATTAAAAAACTCTCCTCCCCACATTATGACCCTGTAGCCAGCTGGCCTAGGTATGAAACTCAGCTTCATCAGGTCTTAGTTATGTGATTTTGGTGAGTTCTCTAAATGTCTCCTGTCTGTTTCCTCATCTGTTATGTGGGACTAAATAATACTACCTCCTATGGTTGTTTGAAGATTAAATGGATTAATATATTCCAGGAACTCAGGATGCGCAGTCATTTCCGAAGTCCGAGCTAACTAAGTCCTGCGGCCCAGGCCTCAGAGCACTCTAATGCACAGCCTGGGCTGGCCCTCCCTCTTCTTTCCCTGGGCCCTTCCTCTGTTTGTCTGCATTCATTTTTGCTAGCCAACAGCTCTACAACCTTTCCAAGATAAATTATTGTAGCCTTCTCAAACTTTTCCAGGTTTTTACCCCCACTTAGCCCATTAACCCCCTTCTCTTAGAAGTAGGAAAAGAAGACTGCAAAAACTCACCCACTACAACTTTTTAAAAAAATTTCTGTCACATAAGTTTAAGCACATCTATGCTCCTTACTTCTAAAAAGGCATTGCTTTATTTATCACACTTAAGATTATAACATTAATGAAAAGAACACCTGAAATTTTCTAATTAGTTGAAATCCTTCACTAGAAGAAGAGGCAGATAAGCAGCTTATTTATTTTATTGAATCTTAAAAATCTTCCTGAATTTCCTGCACTGTTATAGTTCAGACTTTAGAATTCAATGTCCAACTGCTCCATTCACGCAGCTTTCCCGAGTTGGTACCTGTGCTTTAAGAATTCAGGGTCATTAAAATGTACCAGGACAGTTGTACATAATCACTAAACAGCCAGTAATCACATTTCATTTTAGGTTCCTTAGTAATTAGTTGGACTTGGTTTTGGCTTACTTAATACAGGTGGACAAGCAGAGAGAAAACACCAGATTCATCTTGCCTCATGTATGAGGAAAAACCACGAAAAGCATTTAAGCTTAGAGGGTAGAGGGTAATAAGGTAGAGGGTAGTAGAGTAGTTAAGTCAGGGACTGTGATGGTTATCATTTGACCCCAGCTTAGCTGGCTATTAGATGGCCGATGACCTCTTCATACAACTTTATCATTGCTTCTCTCTCATAAAAGCTCTGTTAGTTCGATGTTTCCTGTAAAAAATAACAGCTCACATCTATTGATCACTTCTTGTGTGTCAGAAACTGTTATTAAGCCCTTTGCATGGATGAATGCATTTACTCTTTACAACAACCGTATGAAGGGGTCCTTTTATAACCTCCATTTTGCAGATGAGGAAACTGAAGATCAAAGAGATTAACTAATTCCATCCTGGTTACTCATCAAGTAAGTAGTAACATGGGATTCATGCCCAGAGCAAGCAGTCTTAACAATTACTCCCAAAAACCGTACTGTGACTCTCCATTTTGATTTCAAAAGCTTCATGACAGAAAGAGCACTTCTGTGTACACACAAAAGCCAACACTGCCCTGAGTTTGTTCTTAGCTATAAATTTAAAGATAATTCTGTAAGGCACATATTGCATCTTCTTAGCAGCCAATGACTTTTTTATACCACAACAACCATGCTGAGAGTTTGTTCTTCTGCCTGTTTTCTCTGAAGAAATAATTCCCACAGGAAATAATGTGAAACTGGGTAGTGCAGACATTGGAGGAGAGGGAGCGAGGGAGAGGAGAGAGAAGAGGGAGGGTCAGCAACATCATATTTACAAAGCTGTGTTTGGAAACAGTCCCATCAGTAAAGCTACTAGGTCTCCAGTGAAGTTACTGAAGGTTTTTTAATCTCATGAAATCTTGGTGTAAGTGAACTTTTGTGGAAATCAGCGAAGGACCTGGCTTAATATGAAGTCATTACAGGGTAAAACAGAAACAGCAAGAGAGGATGTGGGAGCACAGAGGCAGACAAAGTTGAGGATGCTCAGGAACCCAGAAGGAATCTTCGGGAGAGCTCTGAAGAAGCACAATCTGGGGATCTGCAACTGAACCCACTTTAACCAGATCTGTAAGTGCCCAGACAGCCCTTGGCTGAGAGTTGGGTTATATATTCATCTAATCAAATTTAAACCATTCCCACTAGGAGAGCTAAAATTTTAAAAACTGATAATACCACATGTTGCTAAGGATGTAAAGCAAGTGGAACTTTCATACATTGCCAGGAAGAATGCATATGGTACAGCCACTTTGGGAAAGAGTTTGGAAGTTTCTTATAAAATTAAACACACACCTATCATATGACCCAGCAGTTCCTCTCTTACATATTTACCCAAGAGAAATGAAACATTATGCCCACACAAAGACCTCTATGCAAACATCGACAGTGGCTTTTTCTATAACAGATAAAACCTGTAATCAACTCAAATGTTGATCGACTGATGAATGAATAATCAAATTGTGATATATCCATACCATGGAATAAATCACTCAGCAATAAAAGTGAACAAACTACTGAGACATGCAACAACAGGGATGACTCTCATAAGCACTGTGCTAAGTGAAGGGAGCCAGACACACAAGACTTCACACTATGGGATTCCATTTATATGACATTCCAGAAAAGGTAAAACAATAGTGAAAAAAAACCGACACAGAATGTTGATTGTCAGGGGCTGGAGGTTGAGATCAACTGCAAACGGGTACAGGGAAACAACCGAGATGACAAAAATGTTCTACATCTAGATTACAATGGTGCTCACAGGATTATACACAAACTCATCAAAACTCATCAAATTGTACACTTAAAATGGGTGAACTTTATTTTATATAAATTATACCTCAACACAGCTAGGGTTTTGGTTGTTCCTTTATTTTAGTTTTTATCCTCCTCACAGGGAGTCACGTGTGGCCTGAGGAGAGAAATGTGTGTCCTGAGGACCCTCTCACAGAAGGGCAGTCCCTCTCACTCCACCCAGGGGGCTCTGTTCCACATTCTCAAGGGTTCCCCCAGCCCCCAGTGATGGTGAGATTGCTCATGCTATGTAGAAGAGAAGTTTAATCAGAGCATGATTCAGCGGAATCTCTTAGCCAGTATAAAGTTGTTTTTCTGGGCCACCATTTTACAGCATACTTTCTAACCAAAAGCTGACACAGTCTCTGAAGAGCACAGAATCATGGTCCTTGGTTTATGACTAGGGCTGCCTGATAAACTACAGAATGTCTAGTCAAATTTAATTTTAGGTGAATGACAATATTTTTATCATTATGTCCTACATATAGCATGGGACATATTTTTTATTTGCTGTATCTGACAGCCCAATTAATAACATCACCCTCATTAGTCCATGCAAGGCCTTTTCTATTTATTCAGTCACACAATTAATTAGTTGAGTAATTAATCTCATATTCATGTTTTAGCTGCAGGTATTGTTAGTAACTGTGGCTGTAACTACCCTCCTAAGAAACCAGGTGGCAACTCTAAGGCACTGAGGAACACATTTTAGAGTATTGAGAAGTGACTTAGGATCCTGTTAATCAAACTGTGATCTGCAGACCTGGGGCATCAACATCAACTTGGTTTTCTTGTTGATCTCAACAAGGGTCCCAAGACCTACTGAATCCAGAATCTGCATTTTAACAAAATCCCCATGTGATACATATGCACATTAATGTTTTAGGAACATTGATTTAGAAAGCTGTATTTTAGGAAAATTCCCAGGGCATATGCATGGTGGACTGATAAGATACTGACTGAGTACAGAACCTCTTGTAAGAATATTTGAAAAGTTCAAGCATTATTTCATGATTCAAATTATAGTGCAAATACTGATGCCTGGGTCCCAGTCCCACAGGTTCTGATTGAAGGTGAAGCCTGGGCATTAGAATTTCTAAATTCTCCCAGGTGATTCCAAGGTGCAATCAGGGCTAAAAGCCACCCATATGGGCTCTCTTCAATCTGTTTGTTTTCAATAAGGGAAGTGATTTTCAACCCTGGCTTCACTTCATAAATTACTTGAGGAGATTTAAAAACACAGCAGTATCCAGACATTGTCCTTGGAGATTCAGGTTTAATTACTAATATTTTAGAAGTTCCCCAGTTGATGGTAATGTGCAGTGAGGCTTGAGAACGTTCAGTTGAAATATCCAATTTAATCGATAAATTTATTAACCATTATTTTTCAAATCAGTATAAATGAAGAGCAAATTCAGTGCCAGAATCCCAACCTTCTTAGGTGAAATATAAACCAAGATATTTTCATTTTTATTTGCTTGTTTTAATTTCACAATGAAATTTACTTGGCAGTAGCTATAATTTCCATTTTTTTCAAAAACATCATTTTGAATCACAAAAATAATCCAATGACCATTGCAATTAGATAACCATGTATAAAACAGGGATTATTCAGACATTTAAAATATAATGAATGCATTTATATACACAGAGTAAGGTCTAGGATAGAATGAAGAGATAGTAAGGAAGCATCTGAAATTTATATTCCAAGCAAAAGTAGTCTCCATCAAAATTCAACCCTATAATTAAAATCTAAATAAAAAATACATAGCAGAACACTTAAGTACTTTATAGTTAACTTGTCACTCTAGTATTATTTCTGTAAATGTGCAAAGTAAAATTTTTTTTTAAAAAAAGAAAAATATTTCCAAGTGACCTTTTATAAAATGGAAAAATGGTTTACCTCTTCCCTGTGATTCTTAATTGGCATACAAAGAATACTCTGTGTCTTGTAGCCTGTAATCTGGTCAACTTCTGCATTGAACCGAGGATCCTAGTAAGGAAAAAGAAATTCAATTTAATGACTGACCTGTTCAAAGACTAATTTGATCTCCCGATATATGAGATTAGATAAGTCTAACCTTTGACTTACCTTGCTGCTCTCAATGACAATTTTATCATTGTAAAAGGCATCAAATCATGCAAGTACACATTATCTTTGACAAAGATAAATTTGTTTTTTTAGCAAGTAGTATTTATGAGAAGCAAAAAAACTACAGACTCAAACAAATGTTCAGAAATAAATCCAGGAAAAAGTGGCAACTCTCCACCTCTGTAGTACACCTCTGTAGTACAGTAGTACACCTCTGTACTACAGAACAGCTTTACCTGTTCTGAAAGCTGAAAGCTGAATGGAGAGTTCCCATCTCATTAGCTGACATCCAAAAGAAAAGCACTTGTGCTCTGAAACTTCCTGAAAAGCTAACCACCTCCAAAATGACCTTTGCAACACTGACAGTACTCACATGCCTGGTAATGATTGTTTATATTTTTGCTCAGTATTCCATTCTATCTCAAGAGTTCATAAGAAAAGCTGCATGGCCTCAATCAGATTGTAAATAACTCCTTAATCTTTTGAATCTCTTTCGCCTTTTACAAAGTACATCATGCAATACTGTCATCACAAAGGACTTCTGAGAGGTGTAAAAGTTCTAAATATGGGTTAAAAAGAAGGTACAGGCTATTTTCCATGAAACTTTAGACTAGGAAGTTTAAAGTTAGGCTCTACACTCTAAGAGAGGCTTATTTGGTTCATCACAGTATTCCCAGTATTAGCACAGGAACTCAAAACATTTGTTAAATGAAGGAATTCATTAACAAATGATATCTTAGTTATCAAATATGAGCATTTTTGGCTTATCATACTTTAAAATAAATCTTGTAGGTTGCAGAGAAACATACTTGAGGAAGTGGACAGATAAAGCGATATAAGATAGTTAGAATAGAAACAAACATACCAGAACATAAACATTTGAATGAGTGTTGCTCCCTTCAAAGCAATGGCCATGGGAGTTACATGCTCAACCTAAAATAGCATCACTGCTCTGAAAACTCTGCTTTTGAAATTCCCTTCAAAGAATATGGAATAACCACACTGGAAAATCCTCATCTTTTGAAGGTCATTTCTTTTTTTCTAATTAGTCTAAAGTGTTGCACAGGCAAAGCTGTGAATGAAGTAAATGATTATACTTGAGTCTATCAATTGGGGTCAGAAATGAGGCCACTTTTCCCCTGAGAAGGCCAAACTTGGCATTGAAGACAATTTTAAAAGAAAAGTTATAAAATGGTGGGAAATCAGTATAATATTTCATGATAAATAAACACTATGTTGCATTTTTGCTATCTCTGCAAACATGTAAGTTATATTCAGAGACAGTGAAAACTTTAGTTGAATATTTCTAAGAAACAGTTCTTAAATAACATACTATATTATAAAATATCTAAAGAAAGCAGTCAGGATACTGATATTGATGAATTTGAGACATAAAAAGTTACTAACATATATAGTGAATTGTTCTACATGCTAATAGTCATATTATGAATAAAAGTGCATCCTCAGTATTATTTTGTTCATTAATAATTGAATTACAAGACCAATTTATAAAGAAAAGAATGAAAACTGAATATCTAATCAAAGTAAAAGGATTTTTACAGAATGAAGTTAGTAGGGCTTTCACAGCTCTTTTAGGCATACTAGGTGTATAAAATAAGAGGCCCTGGCATCTTACTACACTGATGGATAGTGACTGCAATGGGGCATGGGGGGGGGACTCAATAATATGGATGAATGTAGTAACCACATTGTTTTTTCATGTGAAACCTTCATAAGTGTTTATCAATAATACCGTAATAAAAAAATTGTATTAAAAAAAAGGCCTTGGATTTCACTCTTCGTTGAAGGAGGTGGAAGTATTTATGTTTTAAATTCACATTAGGTGAATTTTGGCATCTCAAGGAATTTTCCTTTAACAATGATCTTAGTGCTAACACAACACACATACAGAATTTCTATCCCCTCTAATTCAAGAAAGCACCAAATAAAAAATTGAGCACTGCTATTATTGTGATTATTCCCTTCAGTGTTTACAAAAACATGACAGTGTAAAGGAACACAAGCCTTGGATAGTCACTTGCTGTCATAAAGCTACTGGCACCAGAATTGCCCTCCTGATGAAAAATATAAGACTAGAACAAATGTATGAGACAACTAAACCACAGATGGTGAAGAAGTGAAATACACGATTGCCATGGGGGTCATTTTCCTGCTGGGGAGAACACAGGTGTTCCTCAACTGGAGCAACAGTTCCAGATGGAGCTGAAAAGAAATCAGGGCTTCAAAAGTGCCTAGAATCAGGTACTTAGCATTGTAGAATGCAAAGTACCTGATGAGAGAGGCTGTGCTGGGGGATTGGGGACGAGGGGTGTAAAGGAGGAGGAGTAAAAGACTCAGCAGCATTCACTTCAGACATGTAAAGGGCAAGCCTCTAAGACAGCTAACAAAGATTACCTGTTCTGAAAGCTGAAAGCTGAATGGTGATACCAGTTAGAGAAATATTTGGTGACACTGGAGTTCCAGCCCAGCTAGAGGAGAAACCTCACTAAGCACCTCAGTCATTTAGTTGGGACACAGAAAGCCTACTCCTTAGGAGTAAGAACCATACCCTAGACTCGGGGGGACATTCCTTAGGACTAAATTCAAAACTAAAATAGGTCCATCCTACCAATAATACCAAACTTGACCAATTGGATCTTCTGGTAATTTTCCTGCCTGCAGGAAAAAATGTCAGCCCTATTTTAAAGGAAGATGATATGAAGCCCTGCAACAGAATATGCAAGATGTCCAGCATACAATCAAAAAATCACAATACATGTGAAGAAACAAGAAATTACAACCACAGTGAAAAGAAAATGTTTTCAACAGAAAATGACCCCAAGATGATTCCAATGTTGGAATTAACAGACAAGGACTTTAAAGCAGCTATTATAAATGCATTAAAGGACTAAAAGGAAAATATGATAATAATAAACAGATGGGAAGCTCTACAAAAAAAAAAAAGGAAAAACTATTAAAAAGAGCCAAATAGAAACTCTAGATGTAAAGAGTACAATGTCTAAAATGAAAAGTTCACTGACAGATTTAACAGCAAATTGGAAACTACAGGAAGAAAAGGTGAGTAAACCTGAAGACAGATAAACAGAAAGTATCTAATCAGAAGGACTGAGGAAAGAGAAAAATCCTATAAAAANATATATTATATATATATATATAAAATTGATCCTAAAGGGAAGAGAATGGTGGACTGGAAAAATACTTAAAGACATAGACCAAAAACTTCCTGAAGTTAGTGAAAACCTTACTTATACATGCGGTATGACAATGACATAGTGTGAAACATATAAGATGAAACTAAAAAAATGGCTTGACTTATGATAAAAATGAACATGAAAAAAGTGTTGAAAGAAAACTACAGCTGAACCTTAAACAATATGAGTTTGAACTACATAGATCCATTTATATGCAGATTGTTTTCAATAAATACATTGAGAAATGTTTTGGGGATTTGCAACAATTTGGAAAGACATTTTCTTTTCTCTATTGTAAGACCACAGTATAAAATACCTATACAAAACATGTATTAATTAGCTATTCATGTTATTGGTGAGGTTTTGGTCAACAGTAGGCTATTAGTTAGTTAAGTTTTGGGGGAATCAAAAGTTACTGGCAGATTTTCAACATGCAGGTGGTCAGCACCCTTAACTCCCGCATTGTTCAAGTGTCAATTGTACTATTAACTGAGAATTGTCTATTCAGTGAAAATATCTTTCAAGAATACAAGCAAAATAAAGGAATTTTCAGGTGAACTAAAACTGAGAGAATTTGTTACCACCAGACTTGTACTACAAGAAGTACTAGTAGTAGAAGTTCTTCAGCTTAAAGGAAAAGATGACCAGAATCTACAGAAAGCAGTAATGAGCATGGAACTTGGCTTGAGCACATGCACAAAAATATGCACTAAAAATAACTGAGTCTTCCAGTGTAGCACAGACAAGGCAAAGAGTGCTCTGTGGCATCTTACTATACTGTTGGGCAGTGCATGCAGTGGGGCGTGGGGGGGATCATGATAACATGGGTGAGTGTAGTAACCACATTGTTTTCTCATGTGAAATCTTCATAAGACTATATATCAATAATACCTTAATAAAAAATAATAATAATTGAGTTTTCAATTTTGGAAAAGGAAACACTGAACACAGAAAGGAGGAAGAAAAATAAAATACACCTTGAGGTGTTGAACTGAAATTGGAGGTATCAGTGAGAATTCATTTTTAACATAGTAAGTACATAGACATGAAAATATATAAAATATAGGTATGTATGTATTTATGTATTTTTTTCCTAGCTTTGTCTGCTGACATACTAGTGTCCATGAACATGTACCAGAAGCAAAGAGCATATCTAATGTCCACATCATGATTTTTAAGTACCATCCCCTCCACTGAAAGGAACCAGGGCTCCTTGGAAAAAAGAATGATTCTAGAGCTAGGGCAGGAAAGTATAAGATGAGCCTGGAACATGCTGTGAAAGAAGACAGTCAGAACTTTTAGCTCCACCAGAAAGCAAGAAAATGCCCAGAGTGGTGGGGACATACCAAAAAGACATAGAAGACTGTATCTGTTCTAATTTGAAAATCTGAATAAAGATAACAGATCATAACTCATTAAACGAAAAAATTATTTGAGCTAATACTGATATAAATAAACAATTGAATGAATGAATAATGAAGGCAAAAATTTTCCTTACATTAAATGCCTTACACGAAATGTCTTAGATTAAAATTTCCACATAAACCTAAAGGGTATGATGGTGTCACGAAATCAGTGGATACCAAAATTGGTAAATGTAGGTTGATGAGGAATAGAATATTTACACAATTCCAAAGTATATCCCTATAAAATAAAATACCTACTAATAACAATGGAAAAATTTTGTCT